GGGTTTGAACCGCCAGCCTTCTGGTTAGCAGTCAAGTGCTTTAGCCACTACTAGGAATCTGAATTCAGGGTGCTGCTCCAGGGGAAGCCTTTCTTTCTCTGGGGGAAGGTCCTTGCCTCTTCGAGCTTCTGCTCTTGGCTACCATCCTGTGGCTTGGCATCTCTCTTTCCCCACCTCTCCTTGTTAGCATTCATTTAATCTCTTTTACATCTCAAAAGAAATTGATGAAAGATATACCCCACACTAATTCCACCTCGTTAACATAACAAAGACAATTCATTCCCAAATAGGATTATAACCACAGGCATAGAGGGACACAACTCAATCCTTAACAATAACATTTCTATTTGATAATGTCACTTTACTGGGACTCTAACTTCCTCCTCATAGTCTACACTGTCTTTATCATATAATAAAGTCAAAATCTTAACTTTAAAACATATTCTTTTCAATCTGTAACTGAATTATCAAAAACAGCTTAAAGCAAAAAACTAATAAACCTCCAAAGGTGAGTTTCAAGACTGCCTGAAAATGGATAATCAATCAGTCACCCAGGTGGTCTAGAGCTCTGGGATCCAGGCTAGGTGCAGAAACAGGAATATTTAAAAAAAAAAAGAATCTCTGCCCACTCTCATCCCTGATTAGGATAGGAAACAGTTGAATTTTCATTTCCTTATTATCAACAGAATTATTCATTTTCCCCATTGCTCAAACATCAACACTTAAGGCAAGGAAATGCATAAGATCATCTTTTATGTGGCTTGGCTTACATTCAGGAGTACTTCCATCTGAAATGCCTTTCAAAATGTGTTGCTTAAACTCTAAACTGGCATTGCTCAGTTACAAACAGTCCACAAATTCCTTAAGATCGCTACAAAATTCACCCCCACCATTTTGCCTTTTATGATACTGTTGCCTTAGTTACCCAATAGCCATAAAAATCTCTGTATCTTCTCTAAACCCTGAAAATCTGGACCATTTGCAATTCTGTTAACATTTGGGCATTTGTTCCACCTTTATTGGATGGGGGGGGGGAAAAAAAAAAAAACTCACAGAAAAGCTAATCTAGTTCTTCCTGTAAAATTTTATCTATTCAACTAAATTATATTTCCCTTGACATTCACTGTAACGCAGATTTGCTAATACCATTGAAGCACCACCTTTAAATATATTCAGAAGGATGCATTATTCAAAACATGATAATTTCCTGAGCAGTAAGAACAGGGATTCTAACATCACCAATTACAAAAAGGAGGTTATCTTTTTTTACACAGAGCCCTCTCCCAGTGTCATTCCTAGTAAAGTAAAAGCAAAGTAGCTAAGACAATTTCTGAACCTGATAAACTAATCCCAATTTACTTTTTGAGCTTGATTGTGGATCACTTTGTTTCACAAATGGAAACAATTTTTGTGTGGTGTCCACAGTGGTCTGGTTTCCATTAATTAAAAGTACAGAAAATGCAGGCCTCTAATAGCTGTAGGTTGTTGTTAGTTGCCGTGGAGTCAATTCCGACTCACGGTTGGTGACTGCTACTCAAAAGAACTCCACAGATCTCAATCATTCCTGCTGAGAGCTCTCATTATTGCCTTTTCTTCTGAAGCATTCAGCCTACCCTCACTTCATCAGATCACACACACTCCATTCCATTATCCTATTCTTAGCATTACAGATTAAGTTAAAATACAGGAAGGAGGCCTCAGGAGATGTTGCTGATTAACCCTATTCACAAAGCCTGCATCCCCTAGATGCCACCAGAACACAGCTGTTCAGAGCTTGTACCTCCACAGAATTAGAGAAACGTCAACATAGGCCAACATCAGCACACTCTACATGCTAAGTACAAATTCATATGGTGGTACTGCTCTTGCTGAGAAATTCCAGTCACACTCTGGTTTCCCTCTGACATGTAAGCCCACTCTTACACAAGACATATTCTCCATCTTCTTAGGTTTA